GGGCCGGGAATTATATTCTCAGCCCTGCTTCCTGAGAATGAAAGGGAAAGGGCCAAGAAGGCACCTTCCTGGTCGCCTGGGTGGCTCAGTCGTTGAGCGTCTGCCTTCGGCTCAGGTCATGATCCTGGCGTCCTGGGATCGAGTCCCGCATCAGGCTCCCTGCTCAGCAGGAGGCCTGCTTCTCCCTCTCCCACTCCCCCTGCTTGTGTTTCCTGTCTCGCTCTCTGTTGAAAAATAAATAAATAAATAAAAGAAAAAAAAAAAAAAAGAAAGAAAGCACCTTCCTTGGTATGCCTGTTTTTTTTCAGCAGTAAACAAAATTACTCCTATCTTTTGAGCCAGACTGTGTAATGTGGCCATCTCCGGAGTTAACTCTGGGAAATGTGACCAAGATTACTCTGATTGACCGAAGGCGATCAGGATTCCCCTCCTGGGACTGGGCATCTTGCTTCTCTTCACAAAATTAGAACGTTATTTAAGAAGGCAGAAGGCCATGTCAGTGGACAGAATTTCCTATCAGGCATCTCCCTGCTGCTTTTTCCTTTTTTCTGCATTCTGCACTTTTCTCTTCTGGTATCCCAAAACTCATGTATGGAAGCATCCCTGGGAGTTGAGAGGGAAAAGTGCAGCCGGTTACAGATCCCAAAGTGCAGCTGGTTACAGCTGAGGTGTTGGATCTGACTGGCATGACCTTAGACTCAGATCCTATCCTGATGTTACCAGCTACCCCGGAGGAACTATTAGCAGGTCAGAGGAACTGATTTCAAGCTCATAGGAGGCTGATTTGTAACCTCTAAGCTGCACACTTTGAGTGGAACATCTATTCAAAGAGAACTCGCAGCCGTTTCTCTGCCCTGGCTCTGAATCTACCCTGTAGGCTGGTCTTAGTGGTGCTGGAGCTGGGAGCTGGCAAACCCCACTCCTGCAGGCTCAGGGGTTAGCTCTGCCAATAAGGGATGGCACTGCAGCAAGGCTGGGACAGGGAGAAGGGGCTCCCTCCTCCCATCTGCTGTGGGGCTGCCTATGGCTCTGCGCACCTCCCTCCCAGGCCTCTCCACTCCGGAGGCAGCAGCTGAGCCTGGGGTACGGCTCTTCTAACACTTCAAGAACCGGCATGATCAGCTCGGTGCCGCTGTCATGTAGAGACAGACGGCCAAAGGCAGGGTCCTGAAATACTCCACGCTTCCTCACACCTGAGTGCCTACTCTAGGTGAGCAGCAGTTCACCTTTACTAAGCCTCCAAAGGAAGACGAGGGCAGCTCGTTAATCACCGTACATTACATCATTAGTTTTTGATGTAGTGTTCCATGATCCATTGTTTGCGCATAATACCCAGTGCTCCATTCAGTATGTGCCCTCTTTAAAAGCCATTGTTTACGATTACATCAAGGTTCTGGACACATCCGCTTATGTGGAAGCTCTAACTCCGGTGAGCAGAGCTAGACCTGGTGGGAGCCCATCGAACTAGGAGTCTGAGCATCCACCCTTCTTCTGGGCCCCTTTCAAAGCAGGAGACCTCTCTCAGGCAAGGAACGTACCTAGGCCTGTCTTGTCTCCACCCACTCCCAAAAGTCACGGGACCAGAAGAACCATCAAAGGTGATAGGTAATGGCAGTAGATTCCGAGAGAAGAAAATCCGAAGACCAGAAATCTCAGAAGACTGAATCCAAAGATGGGAAGTCGAACTCAGTATTATTTTTTTAAGATTGTATTTATTTATTTGACAAGAAAGAAAGAGCATGAGCACAAGCAGAGGGAGCAGCAAGCAGAGGGAGAGGGAGAAGCAGGCTCCCCGCTGAGCAATGAGCCCCATTCGGGGCTCGATCCCAGGACCCTTGGATCATGACCCGGGCCAAAGGCAGACGCCCAACCGGCTGGGCCACTCAGGTGCCTGAAACCCAATAATTTAATCTCTTTGACCATCCTTCCAAAAGCTGGGCTCTTAGCGGCACACCTGGTAACATCCACACCTACGTCATTTTACGAGCAGAGTTACTACAGGTAGAGTAAGGGATGAGATAGAGACTATAATGAGACAGAAAAAGGCTGGCCTGGGTGTCTGGAGAGGAGGTTCTACCACTTAGAGTAAATTAGCTTCTCTGGACCTCACTTTCCAAATATATGAAATGAAAAGGTCGAGCTCTATGGATGTCTGAGGCCTACCTCTGCAAGTCCCATTAAGCGACACTGTAAAGGTCAGGGTTTCTACATGGTGTTTTCTAAAGAAACCTGTCCAGTAAAAGTAAGTCTAATGAAACATGATAGTTTCAAATCAGGAAGTCTGATTCACCTTAGAGTAAGTAAAAATTGTCGACACAAACATATTCCAATCCCCCAAACTGTTTGTTCGTGTGTGTTAGGCTACCATTTCCCAGGTTTTCATGGCATTTCACAAAATGGGTTGTGTTCAAAATGTTTGCTAAACAGCAGGTCCAACAAAATTGTGCCAGACTCTTAGAGAGAGAGAAAGCCTGAGTGGGGCAGAGGCAGGAGGGAGAGAGAGAATCTTAATCACGGAGCCTGACGCGGGGCTTGATCTCACAACCCTGAGGTCACAACCTAAGCTGAAATCAAGAGTCAGATACCCAACCAACTGAGCCACCCAGGTGCCCCTGTGGCAGACTATTTTAGTTGCTTACCCAAAATCCATTCCTTACTTGTTCCCCAGGTTTAACATTACTTCGATGTGATTTGGGACAGCTTCACTTGCAGCTATGGGTGGCCAAATCATTGTGCACAGGCATGTAACCCTGTTCTCTCCAGAAGTACCTCTGGGGATTACTTCTCAGAAGAGTATGCTTTGAGACTAGTGACCTGGGGTAACTTAATTACAAACATTTAGATAGATGAATGCACTTCCTGACCAATCACACCAGGATGTAGTCATCTTTTAGGCCATGTCTCACAAAAAACATTTGCTCTGGTTTCTCTCAATAAACTGGGGCATCTGGGTGGCTTAGTCGGTTAGGTGTGTGTCTGCCTTTGGCTCGGGTCATGATCCCGGGGTCCTGGGATCGAGCCCCATTTCGGGCTCCTTGCTCAGTGGGGAGCCTGCTTCTCCCTCTCCCTCTGCCGGCCACTCCCCCTGCTTGTTCTCCCTCTCTAATAAATAAAATCTTTTTTAAAAAGATAATAAATAATTAAGTAAATAAATAAAAACTTATGCATTAATTTGTGCACTTGATCATACCCTGCCCCCATTTTTGGAAAGGATTTAAAATGAAGGAAAAATCTGTTAGCCAAAGAGGAACATGTCTATTCAACACCTTGTCTATCATAAACCAAGAGCACTTGGGAATTTGTATTTTCTGAGTATATGAAATATAACATTCATGTTAATCAATCTTTTAGACATAGCTGTGTTGTCAAGTTAAAAAAAAAAAAAAAAAGCTGAAATCCAGTAATTCTCAGTTCTGTGTACCGAAATCACCTGTGGTACATTAAAAAGAAAATTACAGGTCTCTTCCTTCCATTCCACACCCCTTCTGATTTAATTGGTCGGTAAGTGGCTTAGGCATCTGTAATTTTGGAAGCCCTCTGGGTGATTCTGACAGACAGCCAAGGTTGAAATACCGTGTTTTATAAATCACAGAAACTGTTACACTTCAAGATGCTCAGGTGAATAAGGCTGTACGATATGGTGGAAAGAACAGGTATCAGGGGTTCTGGTCTTGGTTCTGGAACTCAAGCAGCTAGGAGAAGAGTGGGCAGATCACTGAAAACTCTGAGCCTCAACGTGTTAATTCATAAAGACTTGCTATGGATATAAACATCAAATGTTTATAAAAGCACACAATAAGGTATGAGTTTGAAAACTTTTCACGCAGTATTTAATGCCATTTTTCTCTTCATGGAGTGTCCTTTTCCTGATCTGCAGGAAAAATCTACTGTCCTCCAACTGAGCAGAGTTCAAATCTCTGCAGCCTTCCCTGACCCAGTGAGAATTGTTATCCACATTTTTGCAATACCTTTTACATTACCCCCTCTCGCTGACTCTGTTAACTGAACCTCTCCTACCCCCACCCCCCCATTGGGAGCACGGCGTAAGCTCTCACATTTGGGGAGAATCGTACTCTTCCTATCCTGCGTCTAGCAATGTTAGCGGAGGTGAACCAAATCGGCTATCACCTTATCAATGAAGACGCATATCCCCCTTATAGAACGCAGTTACCTCTTTCTCTCTTTTCCAAAAGCTGCATCCTTCTTCTTCAGTGTCCTTTTACTTGTGAAACTCCTACATTAAAAAAAAAAAAAAAAAAAAGAGGAAGGAAGGGCTTCTGAGATCTGCTCTAGAAGTCACGACACTAATGATCACTTTCAGAGCCTATATATAGTTGGTGCCCGGCTACCCACTAGAGAGCCCTCATTTAATTCTCTCGACCCATCTCATAACATAGATGCTATCATCCCCGTTGCACAGCTGGGTAATGAGGTTCGGGGAGCTCATGTCATCTGCTCAAGCAGGTCAGGAGGCCAGAGGTGAAGTGAGGACTCGAATACAGCCCTCTCAGCAGAGCCCGAAACCAGCCAGCACACGCACCTGCTACATCCCGAGACAGACTCTGAGGACTCCACTCCCCGGGGTGGCTCAGGGACAAGCAACCCCGAGGCCACCGGTCCTCCCACTTGATAGCCAACAGAGTAAAGCTGCCACCGACCACACTGGAAGGTGGAGGCATCGTCCCAAGAACCATTTTCTCTTGACGATTCAGTCTGCAAGAAGCGTCCCCCCAAACGGACTTTAAAAACTGAAGCGCGCGGAGCCCGCAGCCCCGCCCGGCTCCTCGCACGAGGTCACCGGGATCCGGCCGGAGGACGCAGGGAAACCTCTGGGGACGGCGGCGCGGCCTCTTCTCCGGGAAGATTCAGCCACACCGCGCTCCTCGCGTTTCTCGAAAGAACCTCAGGCTCCCGCCCTCCAGCCCCGCACTCTCCCGCCCGCCCGGCGGCGAACACCTCCAGCCACAATCCTTTCCTTCCGCGTCTTGCCCGCCGGAAGTGACGCACCGGAAGCGGCTCCGCTCCCACGGGGGCGGGGAAGGAAGATGGCGGCCCCCAGCAGCCGGTGAAGAGAGAGGAGGACACGGGGATCCCGGGGAGCGGCCGGACTCTTGCGTTATGGCCGCATCCCCGCACACTCTTTCCTCACGCCTCCTGACAGGTACGGCACCCGTCCTCGGGCACGACTTCGGGAAGATTCTCATCTAGCTGCCACGTGCAACGCCGTGGTTCCGGCTGGCTGCAACCTTGGGAGCCCTTGGCGAGGTCGGCTGGGCACCGGTGGGGGGAAGTGACCTCTGGAGCAGCATGAAGTGAAGACGCCGTGGAGCTAGGGGCTAGTCCTGCGGTGTGGCCCCGGTGGTCCGCACCGCCTCCGTCCCCCTCCCCCGGGGCCGTGGTGTGCGGTGCTGCTTTCGGTTTTGCGAGTGGAGGCTGGTGGAGAGGATCGAGTAGACCTTGGGGCCCCACGAGTGTCTGGGTTTCTCAGAGCCCCAGTTCCTAGTTACGAGTGTGAGTTACTTGTAAGCCCCCTCGTGAGGACTGGCGAGCGCTCTGCCCTCACTCGGAAACCTTGTTCCAATACAAGGGGTGGTGCTGACAATGGTGATGTCACGATGAAGATAAAAGGACGCAGGGGATGATAACTATAGATGGTGGGCCACAGTCCCCCTCAAGCTTTTGGCTTTCCACCATCAGCGTGGGCCCTGATATCATCCTCCCATTTGAAGGCCCTGTGACGACTGCATGGTAAAGGTGGTAGGTGCTTCCGTGGCTAGGTCTCCGCTCAGGTGGCACCTTTTCAGAGATGCCTACCCTGACCCCACCCTATTTAAGGTAGACCCCCCCTGCTGCTCTTTTCTCACATCACCCGTATGTCTTTCCCCATGGTTAGCATAGTCTGTAATTGTTTTTGTTTTCTTTTTTTTTTTTTTTTAAGATTTTATTTCTTAGAGCGAGCATGGGTGGAGGGAGGCAGGGAGCCCCATGCAGGGCCGGATCCCAGGACCCCAGGGATCATGCCTTGAGCCCTCCAGGCGCCACTTAATTGTTTATTTATATACAGGTTTATTATGTGTGTCTCCCAACCCTGTGAAGGTTAGGACAGTTCCTGTCTGGCTGGTCTCTGTGCCCCTAGGGCCCAAAATGGTACCTGGTCTGTACTGTTCACTCTTTTTTTTTTTTTTTTTAAAGATCTTATCTATCCATTTGACAGAGAGAGACACAGCGAGAGAGGGAACACAAGCAGGGGGAGTGGGAGAGGGAGAAGCAGGCTTCCCGCGGAGCAGGGAGCCCGATGCGGGACTCGATCCCAGGACCCTGGGATCATGACCTGAGCCGAAGGCAGACGCTTAACAACTGAGCCACCCAGGTGCCCTTTGTACTGTTCACTCTTAATAATTGTTTGTCCATTAATCCAATTTGTCCATTCATTACAGAGATTAATTAAAGAAATGTTAAAGAGGAGGCTGGGAATTGTTTTGCCCTCGGTAGTTTTGATGATAACAAATGGCTGTGTGAGGAATGTGTTGCTGGTGGTCTGAATTGGATGGAGATGGGTAGCAGAAGCCAGGGACTCTTTTTTTGGTCAAATCCCGCCATTAGGCCTCACCTTTCACAAGCTCTCTCTGCAGTGCCTAGCGATGTTGATCACAGTGACTCTGTGAAACTCCTTTCTTCCTTTTCTCTTATCATATTATTATTTTATGGGTCTCTTTTGGCTGTGTAATCTCAGGGCATATCATTTGTGTTTTCTGGAGTTGAGTTTACTTTTCTGTAAAATGAGGCAGTTGAACCAGATGAGCTCAAAGTCCCTTCTGGTTCAAAAAAAGGGGAGGAGAGTGGGAAGTGGGAGGGAGTATAGATGAAACAAGATTGGCCATATTTTAATAATTGTTGAAGCTGGGGAATAAGTACTGGGAGCTCATTGTATTCTTAGGTTATTGTCTATGACTGAAATTTTTCATAATGAAAAGTTTTTTTAAAAAGGTCTGTGATTCTTTTTTCTGTCATCCCTGACTGTGAGTGTTCTTTGATCATGACCCTCGGCACTGATTCTCAGAGAGCTCATCCTTTCTTAGTGCTTGAATTGCTACCTCTGTATGGAGGTTTTTCCAGTGTGCATTCCTCAGCCTAGCTGCTCTTCTGCCTTTCAGTCCCATACTTGCAGCTTCCTGTAAGAACAGTTTCACTTCACTGCTCAGAGTTCCCCAGTTCTAGTAAGTGGGCTGCATATGGTTTGCAGCTGGATCGGTCTTTTCAGTGCTGGTACGAAGACAGTTTAGCTTCCTGAAACGGTGAACACAATTGCCCAAAAAATCTGCTAGTAAGTGGTCTGTACAACCTGCTATGATCCGCTTGAAAGATCATTACAAGACCTGATAGGGAAGCACCGTGGCGGAAGGGGTGGAAGAAAGTCAGAGTGTGACTATATTAGGTATCTGGTGGTTGTGTCTGCTTTTGCTTCTAAAAATGCAAAGTATTTTATTGCCATTAAAAGAAATTCAGAACCTACAGTTACACGTCTGTGCACTACATTTTAAAAGCTCTACCATTGTGACTCAGTGTGACGTTGAATGGTGGATATGGTCACGTTTCCAGATTTTTAATGTAACTCTTGTAAGCTCTGGGTATCTTCAAACCTACGTTTGTTATCCAGGGCTGAAATGTCTTTCAATTTCTAGGCACTGATTCATAGAAATGGGACATGTTTTGACTAAATGAAGTGTTTTCATCATTTAAAAGTGCAGTTTCCAGCTGGTTTCTTTTTTTCCTTACTACTTTTCTGTAAAATCTCAGTTTGACCCACTTAACCTTGAGAGATATTTTCCAAGGTGGTTCTTTCCCTCCCAGCAACTTGTATTTCTCATAGGACCAAATGACCTCAAAACTGGTTTTGAAATTAAGGCCCAAACAATAAAACTTTGATGTTTTTTGATGTAATCTTTTATGTATTTTTTTTATTGTATTTATTTATTTGAAGAGAAAGAGAGTGTGCACACTCACACAAGCAGGGGGAGGGGCAGAAGGAGAGGGAGAAACAGACTACCCACTGAGCAGGTAGCTCACAGGGGTGGGGGTGCTCAACCCCAGGACCCCGGGATCATGACCTGAGCCGAAGGCAGATGCTTAACCAACTGAGCCACCCAGGCGCCCCGACATAATCTTTTAATATTAAAATCCTATCTTCCCAAAGAATAATGTCAGGCAAAAGAAGGAAAATTGTACACCGTCAAACAAAACAAGCAAACCCTTGAGTATCAGGACTCACTTGAAAGGAGATTTCAGAGGACTGATGTCAGTGCTTATTCCCTCCTGTACTATGCATATGCAGGCAACGCATATTCCCGTATACGGAAAATAAGCATTTCATAAATAACTGAGGTTGGAGAGTATGATTCCAGTGAAGAAGTGACTTATCTCCGGTCTACGATAATTGCCATGTATTCTGAGGGGCACTGATGCTTCCAAGTAAATTATGTAGAAAATCTAGGCGGCAAACATGATCTCTGTGTTGCAGAGAAAGCACTCTGTCAGCTTTTGTATTGGAGGTGAGTGGAGAATCTCTGCCATCAAGGAACCCAAAACTATGATGGTGGAAACAAATGGAAACAATTGGCAGTAAGAAGTGCCATAAAAAAGAGTATAAAGTGACAGAGTGGTTGAAAAGAGACTTTGAAAATTTGACAAGCAGAGAGTGGAGGCAAGACACAGCCAGGAGGGAAGCATCAACAAAGATGAACAAATTGTGAAAATGTGTGGTGTGCTTAGTGGAGAGTGATCAGTTACGCGTACGTGTCTGGCCGAGTAATGTCTATCCTGGCCTTCCCAGAGAAAACCCATTGAATACAACCCATCCGTGTGGAGATAATAGGAGAGCAATTGGGCAGTAGGCTTGATGACCCTGGAAATGAGTCAAAGCTTAGGAATTACCCTATAATTGCATTTGCTTGGGGACAGTATGAGTGGGACACGATTGTCTTAAAGTGGCCAGACACAGCAAGAGAAGATGAGTGAAGGTGGTGGAGAATGAGAAATATTTTGGGTCATGGAAGCCATGGGACCATCACTTACATGGCCTTACACGGAAGCATTGGATTATTATTTGAGCGAAGGTTTGGTTTGATTAAAAGCCAAATTCAGACCACAGCTCTTTTGCTTCTTCCTGCCTAGATTGATAGAGCCAAACTTCACTGAGGACTGTTTCCCCTCTCTTTTGGTTAGTTGTCTTACCCAACATGGCCAAAGTATTAATCTGAAATGTATTTTCCAGTTTACTGTCACTTACTGAAAAAACCTGTGTTTCTCATTTTCCACTATTTTAAAAGTGACTGAACTGATTGTTTTATTTTATTTTATTTTAAGATTTTATTTATTTGTGAGAGAGAGAATGAGAGACAGAGAGCATGAGAGGGGGGAGGGTCAGAGGGAGAAGCAGGCTCCCCGCCGAGCAGGGAGCCCGATGCGGGACTCGATCCCAGGACTCCAGGATCACGACCTGAGCCGAAGGCAGTCGCTTAACCAACTGAGCCACCCAGGCGCCCCTGAACTGATTGTTTTATTATTTTTCTCAAAACGATCTACATTGTGGTCATTTCAGCACTTCATATAATAAAAGTATAATGATCCCGAAATGCAAAATTGCCCTATCCCTGCTGAAGAATTTACGCTTAGTGAATCAAGGGGATATGTGGCAGTGATTCACAAATCCGGTCAGAGTTCTGACCCCTCACATGTGCTGTTGCTTATGGTGGTGGCCGGCTTTGCTTCTGGGTAGACGCAGTCAGCATTTGGTGAGAAGCACTAATCACGTGAACCTTTCCCTTTTCTCTATACAGGTTGGGTAGGAGGATGTGTCTGGTATCTAGAAAGAAGAGCTATGCAGGAATCCTCTCACACATTCGTGCATCTTTTCAGGAATGTCAATAAGCAGTGGATTACATTTCAGCACTTGTCCTTCCTCAGGCGCATGGTATGTTCAGAAGACCATCCTCACTCTGCTGCTGTCTGCCTTTACTTTCTTTGTATGAGGGAATTTGAGAAATTCCTATTAAAAGAAGAGTTGTAAGAAGTACCGCTTGAAAACGACTTTTATTTAGTGTCCTTTTGGCATTTATCCAAAACTTTAATTCCTTGTTTTGATTATTCTTAACAAAAACCAGAATAGTCCTGGCATTGGATGTTAAAAGTATGATCTTGAACTTACTGATTAAGTTTGGAGAAAGATTGAAAACTTCTGGCATATTTTACCTAGGAGAAAATTAGGAAAAGCTGAGCTGTTATCATACATCTCTTTAAATTCTTTGAAGTTCTGTGAATATATCAATGATACAGAAATAATTTCTTTAACAGTGTGACCTTCCCGTTTTCCTACATCAGCAGTGCATCTAAAAGTCTTTTAAATGCATGCACCTCTGAGTAGTTTTTGTAGCAAACTGAGTTTTTAGAATTTGCTAGGCATTTTATAGTGGGCATTACTCCTACATCCTGGTCCTCTAGGTTGGCTCCATGATATTGTGGGCAACATGGTAGCTTATTCCTAATTACCAGTGAGGACATTTGCCCTTAAATAGAAAAGTATAGAATGGAGATAGTTAAAAACTCATAATTATGCAAGCGTGAACAATTAGCAAGTTCATAATCTCAAATCTGATTTGACACTTCTCTTTTTTTAACTTAGAATGCCCACTTTAACTTAAAATGTAAAATTAACTTAAAATCTTAATGAAACTCATTATTTTGATAAGGGATTTGCATTTCCAGAAATGTTCAGATTTCTTACCTTGGGGATCAAGGGTAATGGGTATTTAGAAGAGAAACTCAAGTATGTATAACGCCTTATGTGCACAGAATTCTGGGTTCATTCATGAGTTCGTAATTCCTTTCTAGAACTAGTGTATGTAATTTCAAGTCTTTGTGATACAACAGAAAAATCACTTAACTGGTTACCAGAGCAGGTGGCTCGGAGGACCAGGGCCACTTATAACTAACTGATTGTTGACTCTTGTCAGTTACAACTAACTGGTTGTTGACTCTGTCACTTTATTTCTGAGCCTTAGTTTTCTCTTCTGTAAGTTAAAGAAAGAGATACTCATAATGATCCGGCTTCTTAAATAGCTTTTAAAAAGCACAAATAAGATATATACTTTATAAACTATGAAGGTCTATATTATGTAAAACTACACAGTGCCTCACTACGTTAGTAATAGTTAACTGCTGCTTGCTAGTAAGCGATAGAGACTGTCGGACTGTAAAGCTCGCATTCTTTCCACACACACAGTGCTCTAACGTAACTGAGCCCTGAATTATACCCTACTGCCGAGCCCCTCTCTGCCCTTTTTGCCTAGAAACGTGGAAAATCAACAGGTTGTCTTGGGCTCTTGATGTTAGAACATTTTTTCACTGTATTTGGTGGGGATCATGTTGGAGATCATGCTGGAGGGAATAAGAAATTTATTTTTCATTCAAGGAACTTAAATGTCCAGGATTTTCTAAACCATAGAATTAAAAACCATCACCGAGGTGTCGGTTATGTTCTCTGTACCTCTTAATGTAGTGATTTCCATGTAACAAACACTTGAATATTCATTAATTCAGCATGTATTTACAAAGGTATAGGAAAATCCTTCAAGTACTGTAACAGGCTGATGGGAGGAGTTACCCAACAGCGGTGTAAGAGCACTTTGGGCCTTGGGTGTATAGTAACTGTACTTTCCTTGTTTAGTATGTCACACAACTGAACAGAAGCCTCAACCAGCAAGTAAAACGGAAGCCAGAACCTGTGGCATCTCCTTTCCTCGAGAAAACATCTTTGGGTCAAGCCAAAGCAGAAATCTGTGAAATGAGACCTCTTCCACCCCCCAGCCTCCCGTTATCCAGAAAGCCAAATGAAAAAGAATTGCTCGAACTGGAATCAGCATCCGTAATTGAAGGCTCGCTAGATGCAGGGAAAGAGGCGAAGGATGAAAAGCGCTGGAAAGAGATGAAGTTGCAGCTGGACGATTTGCCGGGAATTTTGGCACGGCTCTCCAAAATCAAGCTCACAGGTACTTTGTTTTTCTGATGCAGTTAGCTTCTTACTTGAAACTTTGTTTTTAGTTAAGCGAAATGCCAATTTTATTACAGCACCAAAAGGAATATCTTGAAACTACTGATCCTCTAGTAGTATTTTTTTTCTCTCTTCGATTTAATTGGGATTCAAAATCAACTTTTCTGAATTCTGTTTACACAGAACTGTAAATAGTTTTGCAGTAAATATATTGTACTAAAATTAGTCTTTTTTACTTGTAATTAAAGTAGAATGCTTATCCTGCTTACATCCTTGTCTTTTGTGTTCTTAACGCCTACTATCTTTTAAAGATGGCAGTGGGGTAATGAGTTCTGTTTGAGTTCTGAAAACAAAAAGGTCTGCACGCCTGTGGCCACTGGCTCTCCGAGCGCATCGCTGTGTTTTGCTTCTTGTAGGGCCTCTGGGATTGTCCCAGGCATGTGGGGATTTAGAGTGCATCTCTGGAAAAAAGGTCTGGAACCAGATTGTATAGCCTCAGCCTAGCAAACTGTACCAAATTTTATTGTATGCATTGGGTATTAACCCATAATTATGTCATTCGGTTGTCACAGCCGTCCGGTGAGTCAGGCAAAGTTTTATGGTCATCACGCCATCTCACAGCTAAACTTAGAAGTAGCTTATTCTGGGCTGACTGTGTTCAGAAGGTATGTTCTGGGTCATCCTGCAGCTTGAAGACCCCTTCTCTCCGTTTCTTCTTGGACGAGAATAGGGAGAAGAAATACAGCAGGGGAATAATAAAGTTAAACCAGGTATTTTTCTTTTTTAAAAGATTTTATTTATTTATTTGACAGAGAGAGACAGCGAGAGAGGGAACACAAGCAGGGGGAGTGGGAGAGGGAAAAGCAGGCTTCCCGCGGGGCAGGGAGCCCGATTTGGGGCTCGATACCAGGACCCTGGGATCATGCCCTGAGCCAAAGGCAGACGCTTAACGACTGAGCCACCCAGGCGCCCCTTAAACCAGGTATTTTTTGAGGAAAGAAATGGAAAGCAATGTTACTGAGTCAAAATTGGGAAATGAACAATGAGACGAGAGGCTTTGGAGAGTAGAGAAGACCAGGGAAAGATTGGTGTGTGTGTGTGTGTGTGTGTGTTTTTCAAGACAGTTGAGCCTGAAATCCAAGGTAAAAGGAGGTGAAGCAGGTAACTTCTTTCCTCAGTGACCAAAGTCACTTAAAGAAAATCTTTTGGGGGGGTTGTGGGGGGGGTTAGAAAACAGGCATAGGGAGTTTGCCAGATAGAAGAATCATAGTAAGACTTATTAGTGTAACTCCAGAACAGTGAGGCTAATTCCAGGTGGCATCCTTGAAAGTTATGGTAGCTGAGCAAGGAATCACCACATTTCAATGAAAAGTTATCTTTTGTCATTTATACAAGTGGTGTATCATGTTGCCGACATGGTAAGAATGACTACAGGTACGATCGTAAGGATGTCACCCCAAAAACGAGTCCTCTCAGTCTGAAGGCAGCAGAATTGACCTCTGTCAACAGCAGGAGATGCTTGCTTTGTGTGCACCATCGTTGACCGTGTGTTCATGTCCGCATCCGCCTCTCACTCTGCAGACTGCTTCTCTCTCACTGTCCCATTCCTGGCGGTAATACCAGCATTCTTTGCTTCCCCCAGTCGGGAAACCTTAGCATCATCCTTAATTCTTTGCTCTCCAGTCTCCCTTCATCTCTAGTCCAACATCCAGGTGTTAGCACTGGCGTCTTTTGTAACACCCGTGAGATTGCTCATCCCCGTTTCTGAAGCTGCCGTCCTAGCTGAGATCCAACACATAGGAGCCCTCTGGTCGCTACAGCAGCTCCCAGCTGTTGTCTCTGCCTCTCTCCTCCTGCTATACCAACTTTCCTAAAACATTGCTTTCACATATTCCTTACCTACTCAAGAGTCTGCTCCTTCCGTATTGCCTCCTGCCTCAGCTCTGCCTGGCTTTAGAGGAAAGTTGTGATCTGGAGTGATCAAACTCTTCCCTGTAAATAGACTTTCTCTCCCAACCCTGTCCCCTACCCTGTCCTGCCAGTTAGGCTAGGCCTTCCATCCACCATACCCATCCCTCCTGCCTCCATGGGAGACCGGTCTGCCTCTTTTATATCCAGTTAGAGCCTTTCAAGAGTTCTCCATTAAGCCTTCTCTTGCCTGCTCTTGGCCCGAGTCTCCCTCTCAAAACTTGGAGTATGGCTTTGAGGTCCAGCAGAACTTGAGTTCAGATCCTGGCTAGGACATTTACTAGTCACGGGAGCCTTTGGGCAGTTTCTCAGCCTTGTGGAGACAACTTCCTCACCTGTAGAGTAGGAACAATAATAAATCCTCTAAGAGTTAAATCACATAATGCATTCGAAGTACCCAGCAGCAGGCCTGACACAGGGAGCACCTCAGAGGTTAGTTTCCAAATAATTACAGGTAAACGTTTGCTTGTCTATTTAATGCATCTTCCCCTAAGATGTTCCAGACCAAAAATCCTGCCATCTCCGTGTTTAGTACTTGTAGTCTTGGAGTCCAGTGCTTCTCATTTGGAAGAGGAAACATGACAAATTGAAGTCGTCCAGAATAGGACAACTGCTAGGAAGAGGGGATATAGAAACCCTGTCCCTTGGGGAACGAGATTATTTGGCTTGAGAGAGAGAAGGGAGGAGGGAGAAAGAAGGCAATGGAAGGGAGAGTGGCCATGTTCAGTTAGCTGTAGCTCCTCTGGTTTAAAGGGACAGTGCTGCTGATGTCCAGTCGAGAGGGCAGAACGAGGAGATTGCATGTCCAGCAGCACGGAGAGCTCTCAGGAGAACAATGGGATGGGAAATGGGCTGCCTCGTGAGGAAGTGGTCCTTGTCATTGGAACCATCCAGGTGGAAGCAGATCATCTTTGAGGGAAGTGGAAGGGAGTCCTGCGTTGTGTAGTGGGTGGAACTAGATGATACTAGGAGCTGGCCTCCCTTCAGTATTTGTTGGGTGTCTACCTTGTTGTACCTTTGTGCAAGATGCTGAAGATACGGAGATACGTGATTTCTTTCCTCAAGAGGAAGCCGGTCATCTGGTGGAGGGGGGATTTTGTAGGCGTACACATACATACAAATAAAACAGCTGTGGTCAGATACCTCTGCATTTCAATCCCTGAACTTCTAGTAACCTTTGTGATCTTGGGTCATTAACCTTAGAGTGCCCTAGTTTCTTTATCTGTAAGATAGAGATGATGGTACTCATTCTAATGCCTCATTGTGAGGATTAAATGAGATAATGCATGTGAGACACTCGTGTGCCCAGCACCTTGTAGGTGCTTTATTAGCTATTATTAATACTATCATTCGTACTATGTCCATGTTTAGGGCAGTAGGTGTCACGGGTGTTGTAGCAGTTGTATGTGGTAAGGCAGAGTGGGGACCCCGGGAAGCGAGTGTTGTTTCTGCCTGTGAAGGGGCTGGAGCTGAGTGAGTGTTCACTAGGTGCAGAAGGCAAGGATTGTAAGCAGAGGGAGAAGGCTTTGCAGAGGCAAAGAAGCCGGATGCATCCTGGCACATTCCGAAAACCGCGGATGCTAGGAGTCGTTGAGCTGGACCTGCCTGTGACACGGAGGAGACGCTCGCTGAGGGTTTGAAGGGTTAGGCGGGGCCACAGTACCACGTCGGCACGCATTTCATGCTGGGGAGTTTGGCTCCTACGCCCGAGCAGCGGGAAGTTCTGGAAGGTTCTTCGGAGGAACACACAATCACTTTGTGTTCTGTCTCAAATACTCTTTTTTTTTTTTTAAAAGATTCTATTTATTTATTTGAGAGGGAGAATGAGAGAGAGAGAGCACATGAGAGGAGGGAGGGTCAGAGGGAGAAGCAGACTCCCTGCCGAGCAGGGAGCCCGATGCGGGACTCGATCCAGGGATTCCAGGATCATGACCTGAGCCGAAGGCAGTCACCCAACCAACTGAGCCACCCAGGCGCCCTGTCTCAAATATTCTTTTAAGTGGCTTAATTAGTACCTGATTATTATAAACTTATTGCAGCGAAAATTCAAATAATACAGAAGCATGTATCTAAAACTGAAAAAGTACGCTTTCCGGCCATTCTAGATAAAACCCCTGCTTGAAATGTAGCCTCTTCTATATGTATATAAATAGGCAGATCTAAAGCCATGGATATGGTTGTACATTTTAATGGAAATAAGATCATTACCCATACACACACACACACACACACACACACGCACGTGCACACACACACAAACACACACACGGTCCTACAGCTTGCCACTTTCTCTTAACAGTATAGCTTTCACTGACAGTATTTACCACTGCATACCCTTCCGTTAGGTAGAACTGCCATTGTTTGCCTACCTAACCCTCTCCGGCTAAACATGCAGGGTGTTTCCAGCATGTGGGAATCTGATTCCCTCCGTATTCTGTGCTTATGCATAAGTAGTCTCTACTGGTTTTTCCTCTAAGATAATGGAAAAGGATTTTTATGTGTGTTACGTTTCATATTTTAAGTCATGATGGGATTTAGCATCTTTTTCTCTATTTTGATCATTTGTATTTTTTCTTCTATTCTTTTTTTTTTTTAAGATTTTATTTATTTATTTGAGAGAGAGAGAATGAGAGACAGAGAGCACGAGAGGGAAGAGGGCAGAGGGAGAAGCAGACTCCCTGCCGAGCAGGGAGCCCGATGCGGGACTCGATCCCAGGACTCCGGGATCATGACCTGAGCCGAAGGCAGTCGCTTAACCAACTGAGCCACCCAGGCGCCCTTCTTCTATTGTTTCTTATACCCTCCATCATTTCTTACTGATATTTTTTTGTGATGTTTTGTTGTTTTGTTTTGCCCCACTGAAATATTTAACTTTTATGTATTCAAATTATTTATTAGTTGTTTGTTTTTTTTAATGCTTAGAAAGATTTTTTTCTGCCCCGTGGTTATAAAAGCATTCACTCATGTTTTTCCCTAGTACTTTTCTATTTTTATCATACTCTCTAAGGTTTGGGGACCATGTCGAATCTA